GTTATTATCTCTCTCTCTCTCTCTCTCTCTCTCTCTCTCTCTCTCTCTCTCCCTCTCTCTCCCTCCCTCTCTCTTTTCTCATCGGAATTGGAGCTTTTTTTTCTTCGCGCTGCGCTCGACGTAATCCGGGCAAAAATAAGACAAAACGAAACGAAACGAAACGAAACGAAACGAAACGAAACGAAACGAAACGAAACGAAATGAAAAAGGAAAAGAAAAAGGAAACGAAAAGAAAAATACGCGTAGCACTTTTGGAGGGGGGAGTACGAAAAAAGAAAAAAAAAAAAAGCAGGTTTCGCTGTTGTAATGGTCTCCGAACGGGAAAACAAAAAGAAAAAGAAAAAAAATGGCAAATACAATTTAAAAACAATTAAAAAAAAAAAAAAAAAAAAAAAAAACGAAAACATACTTAATCGTGAGTGTATATTTCGTGTATACAACCCTAATGTATATTATGGATTATAGATCGTAAACGCAATTAAAGAATGGAAAAAAAAAAAAAAGAAGATATCGATTTAACATTAATGATAGAAAATGATGAAAAATGTAAACCGTAATGATTACGTATTGTGCGCACATAAACACGTTAAGCAACTTTGTAATAAATATGACTCAAGATGTACAGAAACTATCTAAACTTGTAAGATACATGATGATTGCTTTATCATGAAAATCTTCCTACGTCGAAATAAACCATCGCATATTATTAATAAAATATTTGTTCGATTTATTTAACCGTCAAATGCACGCACGCACACACACATGTATACATATACACGGAAAGTACAGATAGAAAACAAAGAGCTAAGGAATATTTCCAATTTCGTTTAACTCGATTGACATTTGCCCGTATCGACCTCCGTATTCGTATCGAACCGCTTTCGTTTCGCCCGTGTCGCTTTATTTCTCAGTCGACATTGCGACGTCGAGACGGAAGGATGAATTTCGCGATCGATTTGGCGGAGATAGAAATTAAATTGTATATTTGTGAAAAGATATTTTTACAACGCGGATATTATTATTTTACATTACGTTACATTATTTTATTATATCATTGGTTTTTTTCAACGGGAATTTTCGTCACATTGGAGAAACGCGAGGAGCGCGCCGCCACGAGTCAATGACACCCTTCCATCGGTGCTTTTAGATCGCGATTCTGCCTCCTATTAATCACATTGATGTTGGCGCAAGTTGTCCGCGCCTCCGGGGCTTGTAATTTTGCTAATGCACTTAAAATTAATTAACATTAAAACGGAGCCGCGTCCCGTTATTCGAGTGTGGGTTCGTATATCGATCGCGAACCGTTAAAAGCCATATTAATTACAGACCCGTGGCCACCGTAATCGCGGGCGCAATTTGCGTACACCAAGCGCGCGTTCTTTCCCCGATGTGTTATCCTGTTTTCCACGAATTAAAAAACATTTGCCCGGCCAAAGTAAAGCGACCAATTTACGACTCTCGACCACCAGCCGACCGAATAACACGCACTCCCAGATTATATCGGGAACGTAAAAAGCCAATATTCATCGCCGTTTACCTTTTCAACTCGTCCTCAACTCGCGCCCCTCCCCATAACACATACATTTCTCCTTCTTTTTCTCGAATCGTTTCCCCGTTCTAAATCTCAAATCGGGACGAGTCGAGTCAAGCGTGTATACATACGTATAATCGAATCTCCTATTCCTTTTTTTGCTTTTTAAATAAAATTTCTCTCTTTCCTCCATCGAATTGAGAGGATCTTTGCTACTGCTTTAATCCAAAATCATTTCAATAAAAAATTTTCTCTCTTCCTTCGTTCGCAAAATCCCCTCGCGTCCAGCCGTTCCATCTCTCGAAACACTATTGGAAGGAGTGATTAGTTCGTTTCGTTATCCCGAAACGGCCCTTTGATACGATCGGTGATACGAACTTGTGAACGCGGACAGAGAGAGTGTGTGAGCGAGAGAGAGGATGATCGAGAGATTCGCGCGTGAATAGAGTCCTGTTACGGTCCATTAAAGGATCGCAGGTGTACGAGGAGGCATACCGTGCGCGTTTCTAGGTACGCATGCATAGCGAGTTGGTCGTCGTTAATAGAGTAGCGAAGGGTGGCGTATCTCTAAGTGGCCTGAACACAACCGGGGAGAACAAAGAACCCCAAAGCAGCCGAAGGCATCGGGCGGAGAGAAAGAGAGAGAGAGAGAGAGAGAGGCTTCTGGCCGGCTAATTGGACGGAGCGGGTACCTGCCTACCTTTTGACGTCGTAATAACTCATCAAATGTACGGGCTATAACAAATCGTTATACCTAAGCACTAAACCGAGTTTCTTTGATGACCCTTTCGCAACTTTCACTTCAAAAGGGGATGCACGGGATCTTTAACCCCCCCCCGTGCACGGTTGAATTATTTGCACAGCCGATTTTATTCTTTTATTGCGATTCGGGCTAATTGTCCCAACTTTAACTTAATGATCTCCTTAATTTATCTGATTTATTCGTATTTATTTTCTACCGATATATTTTTTATCCAGTGAAACAGCAAACGTGATATGTATATATTTTTCTTTTTTTTTTTTTTTTCGTGAAAAAGATACGACTCGAACGAAGGGACGTGTGTAATAATTTTTTTCAAATCCGATCCATCAATTTTTTATCCAGTGCAACGAGAATATTGTTTCGTAGTTCGTATATAATCGTATACAATCAAACACGTTAGTTCGAAGAAAGAGAATTTAAATTGAAATTTGCACGTTTGCATTTGTGATTTTCAACGATTCACGAGGAAATATAAATTAATCGGCGTACGTAATCGGCGAGAAGAAAGAAAGGTGAAAAATGTTGATTTGGCGCGAATGGAAAGAAAAGATATTCTTTTGGTGTGGTTGGTTGGATTTTTCCAAGAGAGAGAGAGAGAGAGAGAGAGAGAGAGAGAGTGACGAGTAGTTAGGTCAGGTTGG